GGCGGGAAGCTGTGCAGGACCTTGGTCTGTGGGATGAGCACGGGCAGGTTGAAGGTGAACGGTTCAGTTTGGGGTGTTGGCTCTTTTCTCTGCATCAGAGCTCTGAGAAAAGTCAGATTGAAGTTTTCTGGTGTTAACAGGCCTGAAATACAGTAATTCTCGGCCTTGGCCTGCCTGGAGGCCTGGCAGCTGCGCGCTGCCACAACTTGCTTGGTTACTGAGTAATAACCATAAGTTATGTTGTTGCAAACTTTGTGTCTGTACCACTAACGGACTTCACATCTCATAATAACTCTTGTCACCAGCAGTGGTTGTTAATTGCTGTTGATATGTAGGTTCTGTCAGCAGCCCAAGTGGAGGGGCAAGGTGTATTATCGAAATTTCATTGGCGGTATGGGGGTAAGCTCTGCTTCAAGAAAACTGCCGAGGATTAGCGGTATCTGAAGTTGGGTGGTTTGGTGTCCTGACTAGACTGGTAAACTCTATGAGATATAGTCTAAATTGAGCTGGTTTTACATTAAAGTTTTTGCCAGTTGAGTAAAAAATGGTTTCAAAGAAACAGTTGAGTTCAATGGTTGCAAGCTTCTGTGTAAATGTACTTTATGTGGTTGCAAAATTGAATTACACTGGGTAGATTAAACCCACTGAGCAGCTGAATAAAGAAATTCCCTGTAAACCTTTGCACCAGATTAACCAAGCTGATTTCAAACGATACCATAGACTGCTTATAACTTCATGTAAACATGGCAAGCTTATAACTAGAAGTATAGGTCTAGTTCCTTTCTTGTCTGCACCTGTAATTTGTGAGGGATTTAAGTCCCTATGGCCTAGACTCACAAAGCTACGCAGATGTTTTGTCCAGCAGCTATGTAGTGTGTACTGAGTGCCTGCACTTCAGAGTGAAACTGTCGTGCAACTAGACATGGTAGGCAGGTCACTATGCTTGGTATGGCTTGTACTCCCTTAGTTCATACATAACACTTGAAGTGATTCTTATGTTCAGGAAATAAAATTGCTAAAATAATGTCTCTATTTTTTTTAAATCCTGAACATACCTTATTTACATCTGGCCGTTTAATACAAAAGTCTCTTTCTGGCCCTGTAGCTCTGGATGTTTGTATTCCCTGGAGCATAGTGCTCTGATCTGTGCCTTGTAGTTGCAGCATGTTCATCTTGTCACAGCACTGAGAGCAGACATGGGGACTTACTGTTTGTAAGCTCATCTCTCCAGGCAGAAGTGAGCAAATGCAAAGTTTTAAATAATTAGAAGTACTTTGACTTTGTAATGGATGCTAATAATTTGTTAGAAAGTAGAGTGTAAAAGACAGACAAGGGAACACAGAGCAGAATCTCGAGTAAGGAGCATCTGGAAGTAAAGAGTCTGGTTTTGTGGTTTGCTTTTACAAAACTTGAGCTTCTGTGTCATTTTTGAAGCTTGTGAGCTGTGTCTCTGGAGTCATTTGATATTATGCACTCTGGTGGGGAACAGCAGGGTCTTAAAGGACTGGTGTGATAACTGTAAACATGGGTTAATCTTGAGTAGGTCTTTGGAAGACGATGCAGTTCCGACTGGCTGCTCACCTGCCTTCTGCTCCAATTCCAGGCCTCCTGCGGCTTTCTCTAGTGATAAAAGGCTGTTGGACTTGGGAACATCTAGAGAAAATTCACTGGACAATTTAAGATTTTGGAAACTTATTGTGTAGTGAATTCCTGTAATTGCTCTGTTTAGTCTGTCTTGATTTACGTGGGAAAACACCTTATCAATTTTTTTTTTTCCCCACTGGTAAAGTAGCTGGTGTATAAACTAAAAAGACAAAAATTAATAAACATTACAAATCAAATGCTGGTGTGCTAGCAGCTAGGTTGAGTCTTTAAAATGTAGTTATTAGAAGTTGCTGATTGCCATTTTGGTTACAGTGCCAAGACAAAAAAAAAAGTACAGCTTGCAGCTTAGTCAGCCATTGCTTTGTGCTGCATACTACTATAGCAACTAAAAGTAGTAATTTCTAAAAAATGGGGTTTTTTATATATACTGCAAATATGTATAAAGATGTATATAATTTATTTTCTTAGAATTTATGAGTAAGCACTGAGTTGGATTTTTACATCTAAAATTTCATTAATTTTGTAACAGGAAGTTCAGTGTTGCTTTTTTTTAAGCGTTTTTAGTCAGGAGCAGTTAATAAATGACAATAACAAAGTGATACTTATTTGCCTACCTAAAATGAAACATGACTCTGCAGGGAATTCCTGTGCAAATTTGTGCTGATTTCTGCCCTTCTCCCCCTCCCTGAGATTTTGAGAGTCCTTCCCCCTTTGCCCCAAGCACACAGAAATCATGTGCTACAGTTCGTGCTGATACTGATGTTGATTTTTCTAAGCAAACAAAATACCGTGTTGACAGCTTCTTGCTTAATCTTTGTTGGAGATCCAACTTTCCTAGTGACTTTTTTTTTGAGTGTACAGTGTCTTCATAATGTGTTCTCTCTCTCTCTGTCTCTCTCTCTCTCTCTGTCTCTCTCACACACACACGCTTTACACAAACTACACTCAATACAATTCTGTTATAGGAGTTCTGCACAAATCACTTGCTTGGTATGTCGTCCCTTCAGAAGAGAACTGGATGCAACAATTCCAGCCTTGCTGTTGCACAAGTCTGTGAGTTTTCTGTGTATTTAAGTTGGTCTTGCACTTTTTTTTTTTTTTGTAAGAAAGAAAATACAAGAAATCAAGGGCATCTAGGGAGGTGGGAAAAATGCATATTTTGTTAACATTTTTATTACAAGGGAGTAATTTAGTTAATATTCATTATTTGTAAATACATACTTAAATGTAAGTCTGTGAGAGAAAAAGTAATTGGTTTTTAATTCCAACAAACAATATTGCTTACAAATTGTATTGTAGTATTAGGTTTGGATGTCTTTGTTTACCCTGAAGACCTGGACTGCTTGAAGTTGGATTTGTCAGTGGAAGCGAACTGGATCTATGTAGGAGAGGAGAATGAGTCCTGTTCTGAAAAATACCTCCCTGGCACTGATGAAGTCATAACTGGATTTATGTTTGAATTCTTGTTGTTCTGAATTTCATATCCTTTAGGGTTTTTCCTAGATGTTTGCTGAAGGACTAATTACTGTTTGTTTTCTTTTTGAAACAGTTAAGTGGATTGTCAAGTTGGCTTAAAAAAAGCCCATAGCAACCCAACAGAAGATGTTCCACGTTGTTCAGTATCGACATTTAAGACTAATAACCCAAAACAGTCTTTCTAGCATGTCTTTAAAATTCATGCTTTCAAGACCTGTTGCATTTGCACAGATATGGAAGTCATGGTTCTCAAGCCATTCTCTCATTGGAAACAAAAATATTATCCTGATGGGACCTCCGGGTGCTGGGAAAACAACAGTTGGGAGGATAGTAGGTCAGAAACTAGATTGCCCTGTCATAGACATAGATGACGATGTCCTTGAAACAACCTGGAATATGAGTGTGTCAGAAAAACTGCAGGATGTTGGTAATGAGCAATTTTTAGAGGAGGAAGGAAAAGCCCTGTTGAAGTTTTCAGCATCTGGAAGTGTCATTTCCCTTACTGGGTCCAATCCAATGCATTCTGCTGGCATGCAGCATATGAAGGAAAATGGAATAGTTGTGTATCTGGATGTTCCCACAACGGTCATTATGAGCAGGCTGAAATCAATGAAAGTGGATCGCATCGTGGGCCAGTCTCCTGGTATTTCTCTCAAGGACATACTTCAGTTTAGGAAGCAGTTCTACAAAAGGTGGTACGACATCCGTGTTCTTTGTGGAGGGGATATTGCAGCAGAGGTTGTAGCAGAAAAGGTACTTAATGCTGTGAAGAGATACCAAAACTCGGAACTGGAAACTTTCATTTCAACTAGGACTAGTAGGTCTGGAAGGAGTATGGAAAAAGACTCCAGTAAATATTTCAGTGATGTTGTTACTGAGGGCTTAGCCCCTGATGGAGGACTCTTTGTTCCTGAGAGAGGACTTCCAAAGTTCACTGCTGGAGAATGGCAAAGCCTAATAGAAGCAACTTACATTGAAAGAGCCCAGGTGATACTAGAAAGATGCATACATCCTGCTGATATTCCTGCTTCTAAGCTGGCAGAAATTATTGGAACTGCTTATGGAGAAAACTTTACTTGTTCCAAAATCGCCCCAGTTAGGCATCTGGCAGGCAATCAGTTCCTCCTTGAGTTATTTCATGGACCAACAGCATCATTTAAAGATTTTGCATTACAGATGGTGCCACATATATTTGCATACTGCATTCCCAGAAGCTGCAATTACTTGGTTCTGGTAGCTACTTCTGGTGACACAGGGAGTGCTGTCTTAGATGGCTTTAGTCGTCTCCATGACACTGACAAACAGAGAATTGCTGTGATTAATTTTTTTCCTGAGGATGGAGTAAGCCCAATTCAAAAGTCACAGATGATTGGCTGTCAGAAAGAAAATGCCTGGTCTGTAGGTGTCAAATCTGATTTTGATTTTTGCCAGACAGCTATAAAGCAAATCTTTACTAATTCTGATTATACTGGCTTTCTTACAGTAGAATATGGAACAGCTTTAGCTGCAGCAAACTCCATAAACTGGGCACGACTCCTTCCTCAGATAGTTTATCATGCCTCTGCATACCTTGATCTTGTTCATCAAGATATTATTCCTTTTGGAAGCCCTGTAGATGTTTGCATTCCTACAGGAAACTTTGGCAACATATTAGCTGCTTTGTATGCTAAAATGATGGGAATTCCTATTAGAAAATGTATTTGTGCTTCCAATGAAAACAATGTTTTGACCGACTTCATAAGAACAGGTGTTTATGACTTGAGGGGAAGAAAATTAATTCCCACTTTCTCACCAGCAGTAGATATTTTGAAGTCCTCCAATCTTGAGCGATACTTGCACCTGATTGCTAATGAGGATGGACAACTGGTGACACAATTATATAACCAGCTGGAAAATCAGGGCCACTTCCAGCTACGGAAAGATCTACTTGAAAAGCTTCAGCAGGTTTCTGGATGGTGTTCTGAGAAGGACTGTCTAGCCGCCATTCACTCTGTATACAGTACTACAGGGTATATTTTGGATACACACACAGCTGTTGCTAAAGTAGTTGCTGATCGATTACAAGATAGAACTTGCCCAATTATTATTTCATCTACAGCTCATTATTCTAAGTTTGCACCTGCAATCTTGAGGGCCTTGAGGATTGCAGAAATAAACCAGAATCCGTTAAGTCAGCTTCACTTGCTGAGTTCTTACAGCCCTCTGCCTCCAGTCCACTGGAGCCTATTAGAGACCCTGAAAAAAGGGAATGAGGATCACCAGGTCTGTGCTGCTGATATGAGTATGCTGATGTCCCATATAGAAACCTTAATTCAAAATCATTTTATGAAAGTTTTCTGAGCAACTGATGAGACGTCTGTTGTGTTTTTTGTGATACCTTCTTAACAAGCTGCATGTTTTAATAAAGTTGTGATTCATCTGACTTGTGTTCAGACCACAGCATTACATCCACAGGTTTATACTTGTCAAGTTTTCAATAGTATTTGTAATTAATGTGTGTGAGATTTCTAGTAGTGCTGAAAGGTGGTGAACTGCAAGTATAAAAGACTGGAATACGTTTTTGCAGGTCATACATAGTAGAGGCAGCAGCAGTGCTGTCTTTCCTTGGCAGTGCCGTCTCCTTCACAAGCCTGAAGCGTTTTCCATGAACAGAGGAAGATAATGAAGCCTAACCTTTCCGAAACCGTTAGCTCTTGTTTTGCTGCAAGAATGATGTCATCATTTGGTCAGTGGGTAATTAGTTAAACTTTGACTCACTTCACTTAGGGCACTGAAACACAGTGAGATATTGTAATGATGTTGTATGTTACTGGGAAGGGTTGATTTCAGTAAAAAGATTCAAGTATGGTTGTGTTGTTAATCCTTGAACCATTCAATTTGTTGGTATGTTATCTTCTTGTATAATGTTTTTTATATATTGTGAGGTGAGCATTTATGCAAAAAAAAAAAAATCTGATTCTTTTGTTTTTCAGGCATTTTTTTCCTCCCAGATATTTTCCTTCCTAAAATACAATCCTCAATTCAGTATTTTTAATGGTTTTTGAGATGTGACTTCTTCCAATGTGTTGTAATCTCTTTCCTAGATCTTTTCTATTTGAACTTTCAACTTTAGAATCCTTTTTTAATGATAGAGAAGAATTTGCTAGTAGTAGAAACAGTCTCCTTAATAAGAACCAGACTTCACCATTGATTTATATTTATTTCTTGCATTCTAAGTTTTTAGAATACAAGATTTATCTTGGAGGTCATATAGCATTCTTATTCTGATTACTTCTGTTTTCATGTGTTTCTTAAATTAATTTCCTTGACATTCTGTTCTGTTCTACTTTGCATGAATTAGTATAAGAAAGAAGCTTCCCAAAGTGCTTGGCATCTCATCAAGGAGAGTGAAGGATGGAAAGTGTGATCGCATCAGAGGTATTAATTGTGTAACATAAAATAGATCTATATTAGCAATCTGGTTTTGCTAACGACAGACTCCTTATTGGTTTTTTGACATCAGGAAAAAATAGAGCAGGTTACCCAAGGAGATCATGTGGTTATGGACAAACTTATTATGCTAACGGTAGATTGTATTTGGCAAGAGCATAAAACATAACTGTATTTCACACTAAGAGAAATGATAAAGTGACGTATTGGCAAGTTTTGAATGGCATGCAGTTACAGGTAAAGAGCTAAGGATCATCAGGTGTGAGGATGTATACCTATAGGAGGTTATGCTTCCCACCAAGGTTCAAATAGGGAAAGTATTGGCAAGAGAGGTGGTAATTGATACATTTTTTTGCCTCTTTGAGAGGCAACATCTCCTAGATGTCAGGACTCATTTGGAGCTTTGAACTGTTGTCATATCTCCCAGCTTCCTCTGTGTGTGTGTTTTTTTTACCACGTTAGAGGTGAAAAAGACACCATCTAGCAAACTATTTTTAAAAATTATAATTTCTTCCATTGCAAGGTAAAACACCCAAGCATGATGTGCATTTGCCACAGTGAATACGTTAGAGAATAAAATAAAATGTAGCTGCTAACGAAGGTGTGACACAATAGCTTTCTAGATTCTGCTGTTCTTGGATGCCTTTTTAGGTTCTTTCTAGTTCTTTTCTCTGCTCAATCCTTGTTCACTATTTCTTCAATAGCTTTGGAAAATAATTTTTAAATTTTTATTTTCACAGCATCATAGAACAGCCCAGGTTCAAAGAGATCTCAAAACATCACCTGGTCCAATATTTCATGGGAAAGGGAGCCTAGATGAGATTGTTTAGCACCCTACACAGTCAGGTCTTAAAAGCCTTCAGCGATGGAGACTCTGCCATGTTCATGGGGAGGTTGTTCCACTGATTGAGTGTTCTCACTGTGAAAAATTTCTTTCTTATATCAAGATGAAACTTGTGGTGTAACTTGTACCCATTTCCCCTTGTTGTCTCCATGTGGCTCCTTGTGAAGAGAGAGCCTCCATCCTCTTTCTAGCTGCCATTTAAGTACTGGAAAACTGTGATGAGATACCCCCTCAGCCTCCTCCAGGATGAAAAGACCCAACTCATTCAGTCTCTTTACAGGGCAGAGGAATTTTCATCATTTTCTAGACAACATGAGAAAGACGAAATTAAAATATGTAATTAAAAAAATGAGTCCAAGTTCTGTAAGAAAAAATTACATAAGCATATTGCCAAAAAAGCAGCATTGCTTGTGTAGTTGATAAGCTCACATCCACCTTGTATTTCTGCGTGTTTCAGTCTGGTCCTCACAATAGTTCCAAGTGGGAAAAATGTAATGCTTTCACTGAATGTGCTCTGTACAAAACCAGAATTCTAAACCGTAAGAAAACCCCCAAAATCTCCAAAAGACCCCAGCTGCCTGGATTGAATTACTGCAATGGGAATTGTTTTCAGCATAAGGACCCTGTGGAAATCCTGCAGTACCTGCTTTCATGGAGCTTAATGCCGTTTGACATCATAGAGCAATTTGTCACATGCTGTTACAATACTTTATAAAAATGTCTACAAAGAAGAGCTTGTTTTCATAGAAAGTACCTAAAAGAGAAACGCTGAGATTCTGAACAAGATTAGGCTGGAAGGCAATGCCCTACCTCGAGGTAGCGGATTATTATATAAAACAGTTGAATTTAAACTCACAGGGGATTTATTTTGGCATGACTCAATATTTCAAAGTTCATGGCAGTAACTCAAGGCTGGTTTGAAGGAGAAAGTATTGGTGAAATTTTTAGCAGCTATTTTCATATCACATGAGCCATTGTAACAGTTTATATGAATTGAATAAGTAAAAATAATGAACAGTTGTACTTAGTTGTGGGCTTTCAGTGTGGGCTTAAGGTGTATAAAGGCAGTGGTTAAAGAGCATGTATGGTATTAGTACATTTCTCAGAATGTATAAAGGCTCTTACAATACAGTATTTACTCATTTCTAAAAATAATGAATTAATTTTTGGACTTTCTTATAACTTCACTGAGCTATTTTTGTGCACTGCATCTGCTTGTAGACTCTAGTAATGGGCACTGTGAAGTGCTGCAGTAGTGTAGGGATCCTGGATGTACGCAGTATTTGTGACCGAGCGCTGATGCTGTGTTGCAGTAGCTGTAGCGTACAGTCGTCTGGCTTTCCTTGTCCTGCTGGGCCTGGAGGACTGGAAGAGAAGAATTTCCAGTGTACCCGTTGCTATAGCTGGCTGCAGGGGGACGGTGAGGGAAACAATCCTTCCACCTTCCCAGCCTCACTTTTCTAATTGTCAGTCAGGAAAATACTGTGGTTCAACAAACGTTGTGCTACTGTTACTGCACCTTTTTTTCCCCACTGTCACTATTACGAAAGATTCAAAGGGCATTAATGATTAAGGGTGGACAGAAGTGCCGGTTTTTTGTCTTTTGCAGACATTGTGCAAACTGAATGTTGTCATGCAATATTTTCTGTTAACGTCTTAAGGCAAAATGGTGTGCTAATGATGCACAAAAGCAAATCTGCATTCTGATGTAAGCAGGATTCTTTAAGCCATTTAGGCTCAGTGTATACACAGTTTGCTCCTATTTAGATAAAGATAGGATGTTGCAGCCTAAATCAATATAAACCAGGTTTACAGAGGGTGTGAGCGTGCATTTATACACATTTCCATTGGCTTTGTTGACCTGGAGTAATAGCATAGCTTTAGTTAAGCTGTTACTCTTCTGTATAGATAAATCTTTGCTGAACACTGATACTGCATTAAAAATATTAAGGACAAATGTAATATCTATATTTACACTTTTTGTTGTAAGACTATTTATATGGTGTGGAATAATTACTGGAGGTAACTTAAAAATCAGAAAACGACCTTGTTCACACACTAGGGAAAGGTATAATGTCAAAGAAGGTTCCAGGGAAGAATGCAACTGGTATGAAAAGAATCCTCTCCAAGGTTGTCTCCTGGAGAGCCTGGTCTGCATATCAGTACAGGGGGTAGAGAGGAGTGGAAATTCTTTCACTAAGCCCTCTAATCACTGCAGAAGAGACACATGGTGTCAAGATGCTGACACGCTATCTGTTTGCACCCCTGGGCTGACCATCTGGCACCCTTTAGACAAATACCTCCCTTGTGTGAACATTGATTTATAATAACACAAAAACATACCCCCCCTCAGAGACCAGCCCCCCTCCTTACTGAGCATACGCTCTAAGTTTTGGTAACTTCTACCTTAAAAGGGAAATGGAAGCATTTTTACCAGTCATGGTAAAAGTATGACTAGAATCACTCAAATTCCACCTTGAAGGTAAAAAAAAAAAATTATAAAAGTAACCCAAAGAAAGGGGGATGTTAGGGCAGGTACCATCGCAGACCTCTGAGCTCTGGGACCAGCCGACGAGCTAAGCTTCTCTTCCCCCCGCCATAGGGACACCTTTGGGTAAGATTTACACTTTCCCAAGGACTTTCTCAGAAACTTAGAAATCTATAGAGAGTTGTTTTACTAACTTAGTGCTTTGAGTGATTTGTAACCTTAATGCTTGTATATACTTCTGCAGGCAGTAGTTAATCACTGGCAATCCACGCAGATCTGTATTATTCCTGTTGCTTTATTAAAGTGCCTTATTTGCTTATTAAATTGCTGCACAATTTCTCACTGGGCGTCACCTAATAGGCCATGAGAGTCCATAGATCATGACTGGACGGCAGGTACAGGGCACTATCAAGTGAATCCAGCATTAATGCACCTGGACTTGTAGTGCCACCTTAAACTGTGTGTCTGTAACCAGCCACACCGTGCCCCCCAGACACCGCTAAATTTGGCAGGTTTAGCCATGACAGTCCACAAACCATGGGTGCGGGAGTGCAGCGCACTACCGAGTGAATCTGCTGTTGTCGGACTCATAGTGCTGAGTTGGGCATCACTCGGGATCTAAGCTTAGCTGCCCCCAGCTCCTCTAATATCT